CCCTGGAATAGATGAACTAATCATGTTTTACCTCGTTTTTCTGTGTGCGCCTCTACCGTTTCTGTGCAGTTATATTCAACTGAGTAGAAAAAAAGAGAAGAACCAGATAAATATTAAATTGGATATTAAGCCTTATTGGTAAAATTGTGCAACACTACAAATCTCATATTAAAACCACATAGGATATGACCAATATAGGATATATACCAAGCATATCTAAGTGGGAACTCTTGAAGTGAAGTTTCATAAACTAATTTCGAGAGGAGCACGTGATATGATTGTGCACCGCTGGCCACTCATCCGTAATCAGTAATAATCCAATCAGAATGATCCTAGCTTAGTATAAATGGATCACTTTCTCCCCATTGCACTATCTTCATTTTGGAAGAATCCCCCCTTCCACCCCATCTCCTCCTTTTTCTCCCCTTCTAAAGGGGGAGCGATCGAGACCTACCTGATCTCGGTTCTCCTGATATGCTTCTAGACCGGGCGGGAGCCCTGGGCTCAAATATCTCCGAGCTCAGGGTTCTCTCCCGGGACAGCATGCCAAACCTGCTATAAGTGCCAAGCATATCTAAGTGGGAACTCTTGAATTGTTTGTTTTGCTAACACAAAAATGTAGAAAAAAAGACATACCATTTCCTGTAGGTTTTAAACCAAATATGTTTACTGGTCCTGTGATTGTGTTTCCAGCAAGTACAGGAACATCCACAAATGAACCTGTTTCAGCTTTAACATCAACACTGACTGCAGTCTGAGCGTTGCTCTCCTGGACCGGTGCTGAGATTAAAAGAGTAAGAGAGAGTGTTGTCTTTTAGTCATTCATTCACTCATTTTCTTTCAGCTTAGTCCCTTAGTTATGAGGGGTCGCCATAATGGAATGAACCACCAACCTATCTGGTGTTCTGTCGATTTCTCCTACTTTGTCAGATTGTCCTACCTTCCATTCAAAAAGTAGGTAGCAGATTTCGAGGGCACAATATGCTACCCATCAGATTTTGCCATCAGTGTAAATTTTAATGTGGAGTAGTGGGATATGAAGCTGTAATATCACCCCAACCTACCTACTCCCTAACTCCAACCTCAATCCCAAATTCGATTCAAATACAGTGTTGGTAACATAATCTGATGGGTTGGATAAAATGTCAGGACACCGGCCTGTGTTTTACATAGCAGATTCCCTTCCAGCCACAACCCACTACTAGGAAACACCCATACACTCTCAGACTCATACACTACAGCCAATTTAGTTTTAGTGGATTTTATTTCAGTCATGACTAGGCCCATACGGAATCTGCGCACGCAGAATTCTGCAGATTTTCAGCAGAATTCTGCAGATTTTTAGTTATGATAGTCCGCTGGATACTACCAAATATAATTCCACAGAAATCCGCAGATTTTAACCTATATTCTCCGCAGAAATAGCAAAAAACGTACGCAGATTCTGTCTGGCCCTGGTCATAACCCAATGTAAGCCCAGCTTTAGTGGAACTAATGAATTGTTACGTTTAGATGTTGTTACCTTTTAGTTTGTTCTCGAACTCTTCCACCAAATCATTTAGTTTTATGATCCTTAAACACTTCAGTGTGGCATTCGCAGCTCCTTTAGGTCCACAATGTGCCAGCATCAGATCCACCGTGTCACTGACATCTTCTGACTTCTCCACATCTACCGCTGAAGTAACACCATCATCTTTAAAGTGCCATTTAAACCTCTTCAGTTGATCTCCGTCAAGACGATCCAGTGTGTTCCGAAGCTGCTGTGAAATGGATGTCATCTTCTGTTAGACTCAATTCACCTGGATAAGAAAAAAATAATAGTTTACCACAATGGTACACTAAGATGCACCAACGTCATATTGACGTTGTAGCCCAACATCGAAGGGAAGTTGGATTTGTTTGGAAATGAAATCGTGTTGACGTCAGAGCCCAACGTCAAGCAAACGTCAATGTTTAGCATCCAACCTAAAATCAAGCAAATATTAACGTCTAATCATGATAAACCTTGACGTTGTGTGGACATCACCACTATGACATCAGATGTTGGATTTTGGTCATTTTTTGAAACAGCCTAAAATCAACCAAATATTAACGTAATTTGACATCGTTATTGGACGTCACAGTAACGTTGTCCTTAGACGCTGGCTAGATATTGAATTTTGGTCACCTGACGTCGTGACCTAAATCTAAACTAATATTAACGTCTAATGATGATAAACCTTGACGTTGTGTAGGCATCACCACTATGACATCTATCAGACGTTGGATTTTGGTCACTTTCCAAAACAGCCTAAAATCAACCAAATATTAACAGAACTTGACATCGTTATTGGACGTCACAGTAACGTTGTCCTTAGATGCTGGCTAGATATTGAATCTTGTTCACCTGATGTCGTGACCTAAATTTAACCTAATATTAACGTCTAATCATGATAAACCTTGACGTTGTGTAGACATCACCACTGTGACATCTATCAGACGTTGGATTGTGGTCACTTTCCGAAACAGCCTAAAATCAACCAAATATTAAAGTAATCTGACATCGTTATTGGACGTCACAGTAACGTTGTCCTTAGACGCTGGCTAGATATTAAATTTTGGTCACCTGACGTTGTGACCTAAATCCAACCTAATATTCACGTCTAATCATGATAAACCTTGACGTTGTGTAGACATCACCACTATGACATCTATCAGACGTTGGATTTTGGTCACTTTCCGAAACAGCATAAAATCAACCAAATATTAACCTAATTTGACATCGTTATTGGACGTCACAGTAATGTTGTCCTTAGACGCTGGCTAGATATTGAATTTTGGTCACCTGACGTCGTGACCTAAATCCAACCTATTACTAACGTTTTGTGATGTTGTGAGCCTGCTAGGTTTATTCATCAGGGGTTGTCACAGCAGAATGAACCAGCATATGTTTTACGCAGTAGATGGCCTTCCAGCCGCAACCCAGTACTGTGAAACACCCATACACTCTCACATTCACATTCACACGCTCATACATGATGGCCAATTTACTTTATTCAATTCACCTATGGCGCATTTATTTGGACTGTAGGGGAAACCGGAGCACCCGGAGGAACCCCACACCAACACAGAGAACATGCAAACTCCACAGTGCTAACCACTGTATGAATATTGTACTTAACATTTTTTTTAATAACTAGTTTACAGAAAAAAGACTTGCAGACATGCATATGTCCTGAAAACCCGTCATACTGTACCTCAACCCAACTGAACACCATTGTGATGAATGAGTGCAGAGATTGTGAGAGCCAGGCCTTCTCGAAGAATGATGAAAATGACCATTAACACACTCCTAGTTCTTGTGGAAACCCTTCCCAGAGGAGTTGAAGCTGTTATAGCTTGAATGGTGGGCAACTCCATATGAAACCCTACGGATTAAGATTGGGAGGTCATTAAAGTTGATGTCCTAAAACATTTGATAATGTTCAGGAAGAGTTCAAATGCAAAACAAAGTGATCAAATTTACCAGCCTTCTGTGTGTAGATTCAGAAATTTCACTTGTTTTGCAAAGAATAAGTTAATTTTACGATATTTAAAGTGAAATAACTTAACATAAACACAGGAGGCTGTGGAAATGCTAATATTTTAGGGAGATTTTAGACTGCACTTAAAGGTTTTCACATCTGATCTCTTGACATATTATCAGAACCCAGTTTTTCAAAAGTAATCCAGCGGGATTTTGGATCACGGATTGGATTAAATCTTGAAAATGGGTTTTTTTCAAATTAACAGAGGGATTTTGAATTAAGATCAGACCATGTAATCCAATCTTACATTTGACTTGGATCAAACCTGCCCTTTAGGTTACTCAAATTTTTGAACTCAAGGATTGTGACCATTTGATAAAAATAAAACAAAACAGGATTATCCTGATCCCATCAGAAGGGTGGATTCAGTTGTGATTTTTTGAACCACATAAAATAAAAAGGTTTTTTTTAAGTGATCACAAACGTAATGGTTTCTGATGACATATAAATTCCTTCATATTTGAAGCCTATACGTAACATGTCAGATATCCCTACTAAAAAAACATCTTAAACCAGCCTAGGCTGGTTGGCTGGTTTTAGCTGGTCGACCAGGCTGGTTGTAGAGGGGTTTTGGCCATTTCCAGGCTGGTTTCCAGCCATTTCCAGCTTGGTCTTAGCTGGTCAGGCTGGGAGATGACCAGATAAAACCAGCTTGACCAGCCTAGCCAGGCTGGGAGCCCAGCCAAAACCAGCTATGTCCAGCTTAAACCAAGCTGGTCAAGCTGGTTT